CCATTCGACCCCCCAGACTCCAAAAAGGTCTTCTGACTTTCATTGCGCTGGTTGCTGTCGTCGACATTCTTTTTTCCGTGTGAAGGATTTGGTTCAAATAATTGACACTTACTAACAATCCTCCTCACATTCAGTGTGTGCCCTTTTAACTGCAAAACTAACTGACAAAACCCCCTTTTGACTGATAACAAGCTAGGCACACACACTTGCCCATGTAGGCCTATTCCATAAGCATGGCAGATTTCATCCTACAAAATATTGTCCAACTGTAGTTAGTATCTCGTTCTCTATTTTTTTCTCATTATTTAGCCTAAGTTTATCGTAATAAATACTGTTATTTCATTTCATTTTATCCAAAAGTATTTAGGTAAATGGTTTCCAGAAACAGGTGTGATCCCTTAACCCCCCAGCCAGCTCTAACCTTGGCCAGCAGCCAGTTGTGAAGCTATTTCCAGCCAAGAACTCTGCTTACGTTTACCCTCTCTAATTGAATCTTGACTATTTATGACACAACAAAACCATACAGTTCCTTAATAACCAATACGTTATGGTAAATTTATTTTATTAGTAGGTCGTTGTTTTTAACTTGTTCTTGAAAACTTTTAAAAATTTGAAAAAATTTTATTGAGAAATAAAATTGAAGCAGTTTGGAATAGGAGACCGGAAAATAAGAATTAATCTACGATCGAGGAAGATTAATTAAGTTGAGGTAGAACAAATTAGTTTTAATTAGGAAACAAACAGTGTTTAGTGTTGGAAAATGGAAATATACGGGCTTTGACTTGGAAGTTATGATTAACTACTTCTTAAAATAATAATAGCTGTACAACTAATTTATAAAAATAGCTTAGGTTCTTTGAAACTAATATTGACAAGTGTTTTTTTTTTCAAATAATAAAGCTATAGGCAACCGCAGAAAAATTTGGACAATTTCATTTGAAAACAAGTTTTTTTACTTACAGTCTTGCCAATATTTTTTTTTTAAGTCCTACTTCTATATGATACGATGCTAGGCTCTAAACGAAACCATTTTACTTCAGTCTATGTCAAGAGACAAGAGTTAAAATCCATTCATTGATGATTGACGGGATTTGAACACTGATCTAGGGGACCAAAGCCCCCCTGTGCTCTATCACTAGACCAGCTGGTTCCCTTTCTTTGCCTTAAGGACTTAGAAATTGTAATATGGTTAACGTATCTTGTCTGTCTTTATTCATTTTAATACGTTCAGTGTGAGGGGCGGGAATTCTCTATTCTCTATTGAATTCTCTATTGAATAGCTTTGGTAACAAACCTACAGTAGTTTATCTGCACCTGCAATCTCTTTAACAAACAAAAATGGGTTGGTTTTTAAGTATGTTTAAAATTTAAGCATGATTTTAGTCACAAGAAAGTGACAAGCACTACTGACAACCAAAAAAGCTAAAACAAAGTACTAATTTAAAATTGCATAGTTGTTGTTAATTCAGTAATATAACAAACCCCATCCTAAATAGAGCTGGAAACATGTCTTATTTACAATTGATTAGTTTAAGTATTACTAAGTCCATAGCCTTGCAATTTCAGCAGTAACAACAAAGCGTATCAAAGAATGATGTAAATGGTATTAACATGTTTACATTTGGTTTTGAATCTGCATCATAATATTTACATTCACTTTTGTACATATTTTCATAGAGACAAATATATTGTATGCTGCTAAATGTCCAAAGTAAACATAAACGCTAAAAATATACCCTAATTATTAAACTTTATGTTAAGCAGATTGCGTCTTTAAACATAGGTTGTGCCAAAATTCAAAGGGTACTTTTGTAGTTTTATCTTAAATGTTGATAGCCCAGGCAAATTAGCCCAAAAAAGAGCTGTAGCTACTAAAAATTGGGGGAAAGCTGGAAATCGTTTAAATCTGCTCTGGAGATCCTAAATAAGTTAAAAATGAGTTTGTGTCGGATTCTGAAGTGAGCTAAGGGTATAGGAGGTAAAAAACTAGGCCGATTTTGAGCATTTTTTTTAGTTTTTCGCTTACAACTCAAAAACAGTGTATCCCACAAAAAGTGTTTACATACTTATCTAAAGAAAATTAAATTCCGCGTCGAATGACGTTGAAATCATTAAAATCGGTTCAGTCGCTCTGCTACAACAGGTCGTCAAATTTCAGTAATTTTAACATTCTCCTTGTCATCCTATTCTTGATGATTACAGCGTGTTCCGCCAGATGGCAGTGTATGCTATAGTTTTCGGTTAAAATTACTGAATTTGGGATGGATGCTGAACTTAACTATTGGTGTGAATTTATTTCACACAATGTATTATACAAAAACCAATATTAGCCTGCTTATCTGGCAGACTAATCAGTTCATTTCAATAAATTAATTTTCTCCCATTACTAAGCTTATCTTATCAGTGTTTTGAAGGTCAGCATATTAAATTGGTATAGAACATCCCCTGCAATGTTGTTTCATTTGTTTTACTTGACACAAACATATTTTATACCTTGTTTACACCTTCTCAAAAATATTCAATCCACGTTTGACATTATGTCCAAATCAGAAATAGGCCTAATATATCAGTTCACACTCTTCTTTGGTTCAATCCACTCAGTAAAAATCGTCTATGTATGGTGTTTAAGTATAGGTCCTACAACTATTGATTTGTGTCAAAATCCAATTGCATTGAAATGAAATGAAATATGTTTATTGTCTTTTGATTTTTTTTTATTATTGACAATGTCATAAAATAGCTAAAGTTATAGCATAGTCAGGGATTGAATACAATATAGCTAACTACACAAAAGTAGAAATCTTACTAATATTATAAAAATGTAAAAGTTTGTGTGTTTGTTTGAAGTTCAATCACGCATAAACCGCTGGACGGATTGGGCTGAAATTTGGCATGATGATAGCTCACATTCCCGATTAACATTCAGGCTATTCTTATCTCAAAAATCCTTTCGGGCTCCGCCCCATTGGCTCTATAGTTCCCCATGTTAACCTTATGAGTATTCATATTTAAAGAGAATTAAAGAATTTAGTCAGCTGTTTCAACTTTACAAGTTGGTTCTATAATATGCAATAGCATTAAAAAGTCATAAGGTTTCCCAACAGGGTGCAGCACTATTATTATTTTGTTGTTGCATATATGACAACAGCTAATTTGAACTAAGCAGCAACAAAAAGCTGTGATACACAATGAGAACTAACTGTCAAAGTAGGATTGTTTACAGTTAGGGTTGAGCTTTTAATTTAACGAATAATTTGTGATGTTTTGCGAATGTTTGATATTTTATTTACTTCTATTGTTTAGGTGCAGTGGTAGAACATTAAGGCAATGGTTGATGTGTTATACTATTTCATGCCGTAAACTTATGAGCCAAATATTATCAAACTGTGTCCTCCCCCATTGCAAACACAAAGCTTGATTATAACTGCAATAAGCATTTTATACTTATATGCCAACCCCGTACAAAGGACGGGTGCTCTGCTAGTATATATATATATATATATACAGGGTGACGCAAAGGAACCGAACGTTTTTTAAACAGCTGTTTCATTGTTGTCGCAAGTGGTAAGAAGATTGAGGTTATGTCATTACCTTCAGTGAGGCTTGCCATTTTTGTTGAAATGGCTCAGTGGACCTTAGACCATGCGTTTTCGCATACGATACTTTGGTCCAAAATAGTGAATTTGTCGTTAAATCCAGAGGGAATTTAGTCAACATGTTAGTATTAAACACCATGGAACGGTTCCAAGCCAAAATACACTATTAAGATGGGTTTCAGGGTTCCGAACAACTGGAAATATAACAAGAAAGAAAACACCCAGGCCTTGTTAGAATTCCGAGAACACCCGAAAACATCGCCAGAGTGAGTCGGGATGTTTTTATGTATTGAATGAATGTTTCCTAACAAGGTAATTTCTCACGTTGGTGACATACCGTGGCCGCCAAGGTTAGCTGACTTGTCCACTAATGATTACTTCCTTTGGGGGTTTCTTAAGGAGCGTGTTTATGCTGACAAACCACGCACTCTAGAGGATTTTAAGTTGGCAATCACAGAACATATCAATGGCATTGAACAAGACCTCCTGACCTAAGTTTCAGATGATTTTCACCCAAAGAATAAACATTTGTAGAGAAGTATATGGCTGCCATATGCATGACGTCATTTTAAAAAATGACTGTTTTGTAACAAATTGCAAATGTTTACCTCACTATGTACAGTAGTATTAAAACCATTTTATTAGTACCTATACTACTTATTTTAAAAACGTCCGGTTTGTGTCACCCTATATATGAATTTGAACGGATGGTGTTTTTGGCCTCTTAGGGACCTCAAAATGAAAAATTAAATCGGTCCCGGGTCCGATAGTACTACGTTAATAGCTTGTTTCCTATATGGGAAATTTGCTAAAACACGATTATTTTCCCCTTAACACAAAAAAATTTAACTGAGGGAGTGGCTGATGGACAAAAGATCCCGATTCTGTAAACAATGCAAACTGAGAAGAATATTTCTCCACATGCACTAAATGTCTCCATCTTTCGACCGAGTTCACAATGAGTTTTTTCGTAAAGACGGGTTGGTTGGGAAGCGGGCATGTACCGCGATGGGAAGCCTGCAGCCCACACACAGTCAAGGTGCTAAATAGCTACTGTCACTAGACTCATTGAAACACAAACCACTCAATAGCATGACTGACATAACCCCACACTAACTATACTAGCCAGACTTTTGCAACAGATAAAACTATGACTTACTTCCTGTATAGCTCTCATATAGAAAAAAGATTAAAAGTTCAGAAGCCGTCAATTTTAAAAAATAATCCTAATGGTCAGAAGTAGGATGTTCCTTGTGAACCTTGATAAAAGTATTTTAAATGAGTAAAATTAGAATATGTTGTAGGTCTAAAGTGATCACTTCTTCAGAATTTCATGATGGAACCGAACATAGACAGCAGTATAAAGACAACCAACACCAACATGCAAAAAAAATTGTCACTCACCGATCAAAGATCCTCGCTTCCTTCAGGACGTTGCCCAAGTTGATGTAAGCATCCAAGAAGTTGGGGTCCAATGCCACGGCTTTCTCAAAGTGATGGATCGCCAGCCATATTTCTCCTTGAGCATTAAACACACACCCAAGGTTGCTCCAAGCCACTGCGAAGTCCGGCCGAGTCTCTATAGCCTTCAAGTAACAAGCCTGGAAGGGGAAGGAGGGGGGAGGGAAAAAACACAATCAGTCGAGAAATATATTCTGGTGTCACCAGAAGTTCAATAATTTCTCCCCCTTTACATGCACGCCGCTGCGCTACATAAGGCTTATGGGACCAAAGCTGTTGCCAAAACCGTTATTTGTACAATGGTTAAGCTTTCCCACAAACCTTAGTTCGCAAATGCGCTTGGAAAATCGCAGAAGAATTCATTTTCAATCGACACTGTCAGACATTATTGTGCTTCCTGCTTTTCATTGGTTAAAAGTCACCAAAAAAATTTTAATATACGATAGTGTCAAATTCGTTTGACTGAGTTATGTCAAGTACGTTAAGGTACTGTTTGGATACCTTTCAATGACAACGACTAATTCATAAATTATAGATCATCGAGACGCCACTTTTCAAAATAACAGCACAAGAATAGCTGACAATATCGAGTGCAAAGAAGGACAGTGGGCTAAGAGTGCGCTGTTTACGCTCGCGCAAGAAGATAATAAGTAAAAAAAACTGCAAGCGCCATTACGCCCTACGCTGCCTAAAGGGGGAGAAATTGTTAGTCTTTGGCTCTGCATAACCTAAAACAATACATATTTTGAAGCCAGTCTCCAACAAACAAAAATATTACTTTTATTAAATGCACAATGGGTAAATTACTAGGCCTATCTAGAAATAATGTCAAATTTATAACATTTTTTATTTTATACAAAATGAAGTAGTAATCAAGATAGAGAAATTATTTGGATCAGTAAAGTAACATTTCTATTCAGGCTACTCTTTGAAGGAGTAATACATCTAACGAAACATCAGTGTTGCGTTTTATGTTCTTTTATTGTGTATATATTAGCCCCTATATTCTATCTATTTTTTCAGGTACTCTAGCTGAACGTTATTCCTTTAAAAAAAAATTCTTTCAAATTAGTAAGTAATCCACACTCTTTAATTAATACTACTTAATTTACTTTTACTCCAAGGTAAAAAATTCTGTGCTTTCGGTTTTTTATCTGTATGTATTAAAAACTTCACTTCACGTCTACATTTATGGAACCTCTTTTTCTTTCAAAATATCACAAAATTTTACTTTTGAGTAGACCTACGTTGGAAAATATCACAATTTTACTTTTGTGAAGGCCTACATTGGAAAATATCACAATTTTACTTTTGTGTAGACCTACGTTGGAAAATATCACAATTATTCTACTTTTGTGAAGGCCTACATTGGAAAATATCACAATTTTACTTTTGTGTAGACCTACGTTGGAAAATATCACAATTTTACTTTTGTGGAGGCCTACATTGGAAAATATCACAATTTTACTTTTGTGTAGACCTACATTGGAAAATATCACAATTTTACTTTTGTGTAGGCCTACATTGGAAAATATCACAATTTTACTCTTGTATACATCGAACAATGTTAGAATTGTTTATAATCTGTGTAGTATTTATAATAAACAGTTCAAATTATCTATATGATTAGGTAAAGTTGTGTAAACTAGATCTACAGCAATTTATGTTAAGTCAACAGTTATTTGTAGCCTACATGTATCAAGGGTGTTTATACAAAAGATGTTTCACAAGCTTACCCTTCGCCCTTAACTTTACAACCAAAACATTTTATTCACATTTAGCATTTTTAAATGTCAACAACAAAATTCATCCCTACACTTTTAGGTTTTAGACATAGTAGTCACTGAATGAAATCCGTAAACTTAACGACCCGTTGTGCCACTGTTAACAATAAAGTTAGATAGGAGACTGACTGCAAAGGTTACTACTTTACCTGGGTACAGACACCAGACGCTTACGAAGCGAAGTTCATTTACGACACTTACGACTCCACCTAGTCAGGATCGGGACCTAGTTATTCATACCACAATAAACATACTGTTGATTAGTATCTGTTCACACTATAACATCTCATGACTAAAATGATTTTACTTTTAACAGCCGTTAAATATTTTTTCACCACACTATCATGTTTTTGGCTGTATTACATACGTTAATTGGTGGCCGAAAGTTAGGTTTTGCTGGCGATGCCAGCTGTCCATAATTTGGGGACCGAGCAGGTTTTTACAGGCCGGGGCCGCAAAATCAGCTGTCCGCTTACTTACTTAAAACATGAATGCATTTTAAATACATAATCAAAATCCATAGCATTTCAATAGAATTGTGTTATTGTCACCGTTGCCTAGCAACTATATATTTTTATTTTTGCTGATTCCTCAAATTATTTCTTCACATAACCTTAAAGTTGTAGTTGTGTTGACTATCAGTGTGCATTATTATTGTGGTGAATAGTGGTAATAGGGTATAGTGTGGTGAAAAATAGCGTTCGTACCACGGACCGAAATGGTTTTGCGGCTCTCGATCGATTTAAGTTCTCGACTTCGTCTCGAACTTAAAAACTATCTCGAGCCGGCAAAACCTCATTTTCGGCCCTAGGTACGAAATATACTATTTTTCATTGGGCACATTGATCACACATGAGTTGATCGCAGAATTCCCCTACCTATTTTTTCATGGTGTTTTCAACAATATTTTCAAAAGGTTCAATTAATTATGTTTTACTATTTACATATGTCTAATAATATTTGTCTAATAACATATGTCTAATAATATTTATGAATAATACATCAAGTGATGATGTGTTGCATACGATTACTGAACTGAAAATCTATAATAGATAATTTTACAATTATTTCAAACATAAAAAGATAAAAGATAAGTAAGTAACCACACATTTTTTTACAACCGTAATGTAAGCTACATGATTTTTTTTTTTATTGTACAAAATGTATCAAAGGCTTTAAAAGAAATCAGATTAGTCAAGAAGAATACATATACCGAAAATCATGCAAAAGATTATAAGAGTAAATTGATCAAATTTTGTGCTTCATAAGTTGAACTATAAGAATATACAGTAGGCCTAGGTTTTTTTTTTTTTTTTTTTTTTTTTTTTTTGCAGCTCAGTAAGTAATTTATACATTTTATTTTAATTTGCCTTCTTCGGTGCTGCAATCCTACAATACCTTGAGAAACTGGTCAAAGATCCTTATTCCTGTGCTTGCAATTTAAAGAAATTGATTCTAAAACTAGGTAATCTGAGCAGATTTATAACATTTGAGAGATTTTAAGCATCTTTAAAACTTGTTCAAAGGCTAATCAAAGTCAAAATAAAAGTGAATATTGTTTTAGAATTCAGGCCTACTCAAATAACCTCCAAACTAATTGTTAGAGGACTTGAACAACTTTCTGTAATACAATTTTATGTTCAATGATAAATATTGTAAGATATTTAGAAATTAAATTTTGTAAGTTGAACAATTATAATAGGCCTAGGGAAATTTGACCCCCTCCCAGTTGAATATTTTTGAATCTACAAATTGTAGGCAAATAGTTGGAATGTTTTTCAAAGGTGATGTAAAAAAATATGATCAACAAGATTTTGATGGAGAATCTTGTTGACACTTAATTTATAACCACACAGAATAGATTACAGTCAGAAACGTACTACATTACACGAAAAACTTTCTTTCCAAATTAGGACACTGGAAAAAATATATAATTCAAATTCAGGGAACATTAATTGTTGGTATCTGAGGATATTTATAAAAAATAAAAATAATTTATTTTCAAGGTTTAAACATTGTTCAACACCAAGCCACAAAGGTGAACAACTAAATATGCTTACCTTCCAGATGCAATTCCTATCGTGAGGATAATCAATTAAAAGGTCCAATTTGTATTTCATTCATAAGGGAAATCAGATGCAATTCCAATCGGGATGATAATCAATTGAAATGTCCAATTGTTATTTCATTCATAAGGGAAATATCCCACAAATTGAAACTTAGAGCTTTTGTTTTACTAAAGATGTATTTTATTTGATCCTCCAACTTTGTTCATTTATCCTTTATCTTTATGGAGGTTATCCCCATTTTAATGATCATCCTTTTAATCTGGCTTTCTTTTAAGTGCCGCTGTATTTAAAGGACAATAGGCCTGCTGATTTATCAAATGACATTTTAAATGCAACACTTTGGCAAATGTAAGATTAAATCAAATTAATAAAATACTGCATTTCTAGGCCAGCTTTAAGAATTTTAAAATTAAAAAATGGATCTGTAATTTCAAAACCACCCGACTTAAATGAATAAAAATATTAAATGTTTTTCCAAAAATAAAAACAAAATGTAACAATAAAATTGATAGATGAAATACAAAGAAATGCTTTAACAAATTATTGAAATGTGTTTTCGTTTTCTTAACTATCCTCTAAAAAATGAATGTTAGAAGATTAAATATTTACCGAATTTAATGACTAATAACTAAATCCAAAACAAAGTTTGAAATACTTTTCTTCATAGCCTTCTATAATCAGAGACATTTTTGTCTTCAACAAGAAGTATGATTTCATTGAAAATCAACCAAAGAAGAGTAAAAGATAAATGAAAACGCTTGCAAACACAAAAACCACCTTCTCAAAATGGTTAAAACCCCTTATATCACCAAACTTTTTCTATTTCCATACGACGATTGAGTGATCTGGTTTACTAAAATTAATCTACAACTGCTATAAACTAGTAACAATATTTTAGGAGTAAATTTACTTCGTCATGAACAACCAATATAAGAGTTTATTTTGAGAAAGCGGTTTCATCACCCTACGCTTGCGCTGCAAAGGATTTTCACCGTCAAAATTCAAGATTTAGAGTGTAAAAATCCTTTGAAATCGTTGTAGTGAAGAACCCCATCCTTCTCGGTGGGCACATTGAGCCTATAACTAAGATTGTGTAGAAACCGAGTTTTTACACAATCCTCGTTACATAAAATGTATGTTGTGGTCTTCAAATCTGTCCTCAACAAAAAATATTTAGTTATTAAAAGTGGCGCAGCGGCAAAGATATTTTGAATGCTTAAACCTCTGTGGTCATAAGGTTGGAGCATCCAAAAATGTACTACAGACATCAAAAGCTTTCTGTCGGTAAGTTAGCTATGATTGAGAAAATGTAATTTTTATCCATACATAGATTAAGCACTTTGTAAATCACTACATTTGTAAATTTACATTATTTACATTTTAAATCAACTCTATTGTAACTTAACCAAAACAGAGAGCTTGAGATGCTGAATGAAACCATAGTTCTATATGATTACAGTGACAAAATACTGCATTGTATGGTACAGTCTACTACTCAAGTGATTGGTTTTGATTTACAACCAAGTTAACAGTGTCTCTGATTATTTTTGAAAACTAGACCGACTGTAACGGTTTTAAGCTTGAATTTGCCAAAGTGTATGAAAATGTTATTAAAATATATTTGAGATTCATGTAGTTAAATTACCTTGGCTTCATCCAGGCGTCCAAGGGCTTTTAAAAGATTGCCCAAATCACTTCTTACACAGTACAAGTCCTGGAAAGAAGAAAATTTTGTTACAAACATCCATAATTAAAACGGATCATAGAATTTGAAGTAGTAGATTACAAATTCAAAATCGTAAATAACCAATTCCCGGGGTTTGAAATTGAAAATACCAAAACAACTAACTAAAGTAGTCTTCAATTTTGGGTCACATCAAATTTCCATTGTTTCAAATTGACAATGTCATTAATATGACATTAATATGTCATTAATATGTCTTTGCCATCTTCTATTATTTATTTCCATTTTCTAATCCTTGTTAATCTGACTATAAGAAGGTTATTTAACCTTTTTTTAATGACTATACCACCCTTCTTGCAGGTAATCGAAGAGCTTGAAGTTGCTGTTAATTCCGTGTGATTAAGCTGCACACCATAGAGGGTATGACGATCCTGGTTAACTGAAACCATAATAGAAAACTCTCATTTGGAGAAACAGGCGGTGGAAATTGTCCACCATAACACGAGTTGTTGGCTAGACTTGGCTTACGAAATGCAGACTTCATGTATTTTTAGTGGGCTTCTACATAAACATAACCTAATATTTCAGGTACCTACCGGATTATACTGCAGAGCCGTCACATACGCTTGTACAGCCTGTTCCATATCATTGGCCGCTACCAGAGCCGCGGCCAAGTTGATGTATCCGTCTATAAAGTCCGGTTTGAGCCTGACCGCATGCCTGTAGTTCTCCAAGGCCTCTTGAAGCTGACACCTCTCCTTATAAACGTTGCCCAGGTTGCTGTAGGCTTCGGCCAGCAGAGGGTTCTGCTTTATGGCCAAGGTGCTGAAGTGAGCAGACCTGTCGAACGGTTGGTTCAGTTAGTTCACAATGCCTACTAGACAGGATTCATACACTGGCTTGAAAATTAAATTCAAGGTTTTTTTTAGTTATATTAGAATGGTTTGTGCTGTGTTGATAAGGGTCGAGGGATTAGGCTAGGGTTGCCACCTTTGGTTAGGTAAAAATCGGGACAGCCCCTCCTCCCTAGGATTCAATTCAATTAGTTTATTTACAGCAAGAATAAGTTTATAATATAAAGACTTTAATTAGTACAAGCTAGCATTTGCCATAGGATTGCCACAGACATAGGCAAAAAGGATAGAATATGGACGGGTCGCGACCCTGGATTAGGAGTAGGCATACTGGCGGAATTGCAGTGGCATCACAACCAACATAACAAGTGGGGTATAAGAAGAAGTAGAATTGATGGGACACCACAATAAGGTCACCATCAGCAGTCAACAACTATTATTTATCTAGATTAGATGCAATTCTGATATTGTTATGGGCTACACAATGAATAAAAGCAGTTATAAACTAACCAGGAAGGTTTTTCATTCCTCAATTATTCACAAAGAATTACCAACTGTTAAATGGATGATTTAATTGTAAATAATAATAATTCCAGAATCAAACATTTTACTAGATTAAAAAGTAGGGATGTTGAACACTTAAAAATTAAAAGTAAAACTTCATATCCGACCTTCCCACAACTGGTTCCACATCTGAGAGATCTATTTGACATTCAGCTGTGATTTACAAAACTCAACAATCTGTGGACAAGCCTGTTCAGACTTGAAAGATTGACTCATCAACAAAATGCTTTGTTTCTGTGACTAAGTGGCAAACTGTAATTTACGTTGTGATTGTTAAAGTGGAATGTGCTCCAGCTAAAATATTATACTATTTACTCACTTTAGCTTTGATATTATGGCTCTTTTTATATCTGAGAAAGGTATTCTTTTGCTATACTCTCGATTACTGAACCTTTTGTCCACTCCAAATATGACCCCGTCGGAAGTTTTTAGGATCGCAAACAAAGTAGCGAATAAAATATTGCGGGGATATTTTCCCACATGTTATTTGAAATTTGTATGGTGGTGTAGTGTTTTACTTGTATATCAGTAAGAATTTATGAATATATAAACATAAATATATAAACAAGAGAGAGGCTTCTGTTTCTGTGTCGTTCTTTGAAAATGAGGATTTTTTAGATTGCGCCAAAATTTGGGAAAATACCTACAATTTCTCAATTTTACTGGGTAGGTGCATGAAATTTGCTATGCATGTTTATAACTATATGTAGAATCTGAAAATACCAATAGTATATGAGGGCTCAAAGCATTTTTTTATAGTTATTATGGTTTAAAGTCAACTTTTATACGTTTTTTTATTTTATAGATGAATATGAATACATTTTTTTTTTGTTTTAGTGAATTTTTTCTCTAAAGTAGGCCTATATTTTTTCTTGTTCAGAATTTCATAAGAAATTTAAAGCAAAAAAAATTTAAACTTTATTTGGTAAAAAAAAAAAGTTACAGTTTTCTCCCCAAACCCTTGCAAAAACTAAAAAAAGGGTCCAGAGTTTTTGGTTATACTTTCATTCAGGTAGTTTTCCACCGTGACTAAAAAATGTTTGTCCGAGAGCAAAGGGTTAGGCTTGATTATCCAATAGTTCATGGTATAATTTAAGATAGCCTAGATCAATTATAAAGCAATCCATTTTATAATCCATGGACTCTTTGGTAAAATAAGAGTTCTTTATAACACTTTTGTCTGTTAATAATTAATTTATTAATTTATAATAAAAATTAATTAGTTTTTTGTGTTTTTTTTTCATTTTGTAGCCTTGACAATGATGTGCTTGCAACAAAACTAGCAACACGTAAATGAAGATTTGGCCTATAGACAATGATTTTGTCTACTTTCTCTATTTCAAAAGATTGAGATGATCAAGCATGTGTTCGTAGAGATATATTAACACAATATAAGTATGGCTTACTTGTCCAGTCTGCGACATTGGAAGTGAATTGAGGAGAGGAGCAGCAAAACGCCAGTATTGTTGGTCTCCTGTCTCCACAGCTGCATACAATGCCTCTCTGCATTCTCGTAGTCGCCAGCCTGGTACTCCCTGTGAGCCAACTCAAGGAGACCTGTACAAAGAGTGAGTGCTTAGAACCGGAATTCCAAATATTTCCAACAACCTGTCTCATTGTGACACTGCTTTTACCAACTGTGAATCTGACAAACAGAAGAAGGACAGAAGACAATCAATGACTTATGACTTTTTGGAACACTAAACATCGAGTCAGATTGTCCTTGGATTGTCAGAAACGTGAAGAAAAAGGTGAGTAATCTGAAGCAATAGGTTTGTTCATACAAAATCATGTCCCGGTTGGCTCACTAGTGTATGATCCTGAACCCATTCACATCAACAGTGCAGTGCACATCTGTGGCCGCCAGGGTTGCCACCTTAGGTTAGGGAAAAATTGGGACATGGCCCCCCTCCCCCCCGTATTAACATAGGCTTAAATCGGGCATATGGAACGGAAATCGGGACTGTCCCGGCAGAATCGGGACGGGTGGCAACCCTGGTGGCCACAGCTGTAGTCGAATATTTAAATTTTATATTGTGCTTAAACAATGTTCGTTTGCGTGTTCCTGTTAACAGTCTATCTGGCGCTGGTCAATTTTCTACCACTAAAACGTGAGTTCTCAGTGGTGCTAGTCAATTTCAACAAAGACGACATGGGTTGGGTTTTTGTATTAATAAAATATAAAAACCGTTTCAAAACGCAATAAATCTTATATACTATTAGAGAGATGAGATTCTGAGGTTTCATTTTCACGCATAAAACATTATTGAGTGAGTATTATGTAGCGAGAAACATAGTTTGAAAAACTAGAGGGTTCAAAATAGATTTTGGCGGTGGAAAGTTTTGGTCACCTGACTACAAAAACAGCTGTTTTTGGCGATTGTCAATTAAATTGTATACAATCTTAAAAAAATTTATATTCCGACGTAAATTATTCAGAAATGTTATTCAACTATATATAACTAAATATTTTCAGAAAGATCTTTAACACGATGACTGCTGAAAACAACATTAAGGCGCTCCCCAGTGGCGGGCGAAGCCCCGGCACGCAACCGAATCAGCGAACGCAATTGGCATTCAAATATTTCAGTCTGACGAATCACAAAAGAGCAGTGGTGACTGTGCTGCGTTACCCCGAGAGTGGATGTAGTTCACTGAAACACCCAAAGGTAGCAGCACTGCACGGATCCGTATCCAGTGTCTTTGTAATGTGGGTTGAAGAGAAAAAATCCCTGAAACCGGGACAAGAGCATTGCCAGACAGGATTTTACGGTAAATTTTAGTACCAACCCACACCAAAGTAAAGCTCGCATTCTAAGCTGGCAGGCTGGCAACGATTATAACGTCTCCGTCTGAGGCTAAGCTCACACTGACTCAATATATTTCTGTTGGTCTGGTGCCGATTTTTGTCGGCGCGCGCCACATTGAAGTGCTAGCGACGCCGAATGTCGGCGTTAGCAGTCAACGTGTTAATTTCCTATTGTACAGTATCATTTTATTTTTTGTTGATGCATTGTAATATTTCCTGTGTCACAAAAAAAATTGGTAGTTTTTTCAAAAAATAAAATATGTATGAAGAATTTATTTTTTTATAATTTTATTTTTATGAGTAGGCCTAATTAAAAAAAAACATTGAAATTTCTATGTAGGGAATCATATTTCACACAACCTTTACATTTAGATGAAATATGTAAAAGAATGATTTTTGTAGTTTGCTTGTTGGTTGCTTTTTAAATTTCTAATTTGCAAAATCCAAACCTTATGCTACTGCAACTAAACGCATTGCTAGAAAAAAATTATTTGTATATTATTATATTGTACACTAGCTGTACCCTTTCTACGCAAGGGGATCTTTTAGTATTCAGTTGAAACCTTCATATATAAAAACAGGAGTCGGTTTGCATATTTTCAGATATGCTGGCCAAACTATTATACATAACTTCATTTTATGTTGTTTGTTGTTGTTCCGGATCGGTATGACAATCAATAAAAGGTTAAATTACCTGTGTCCGCCGGTCGATCCTAATGTATCCTATTACAGGAGATCCATTTCGGCAAAATTAAATCGCCCTCATCAGTCCTAATATAAGGTCTTGAGCTTCCCCATTAGGTGCGTCTTGGAGTTTTTAACACATACACGAACTGTACACTTATATACATGACGTATAAAAAAAATACACGGTATGCCTACTTTTATTTTTACTATGGACATGTAGACGCGCGTCGGTCGTGTGCCGAGTCTCAACTGAAGATGCTCATTTAAAAAATGTATGTTTCCCAGCCATATACAACACTGATTCAAGGTCGTTTTCCCGGTTATCAAAACTATAGAACAATTTTATACACAAAGTATCTCTATTTTCATTCACGGATACCCTACAAATTATTGCTCTTGCGATTAATTAAATCCGTTATGTAATGAAAAACGTTTTTAATCTTACTTTGTTTGGATTTGCTTTCAAAACGTGATCGGAAATGGTTGCGGTATTTGTAAACAACATTCAATGTAAACATATCAGTGACAGCTAGAGAAAAATAATCTTGATTCGAACAGCTGTTCGTTATTTCATAGAAGAATAAGTGATAAACATTGGGAAAACTTTACAACAAATCGCACAAAATTGGGTTTTTAAACGTCCGTTATTTTATACAAAGTAGTGATGCCATATTTTTATGGCTAAAGACAATCTCGCCAATCCAGTGAATACAAAATTATTTGGAACTTGATAGGTACTCTCGCTTTTCAGGAGAAGGCCGCGTAAAATGGCTCTTGGGCCGTGACAGACAGGAAGACAGACAGACAGAAATTTAGATGAGACTTGTTTCGGTTTTTTTAATGTATAAAACGTAAAAATAACCCAAAAGTTTATGATTCTGAGCAATGTACAGAAAAAACTCTAATTTTATTTATATAGGTTTATGACTGAAACAGAAAATATATAGCCTATATGTGTGTGTGTACTTATATTCATAAATAAATGTTCTGTGGCAAAATATATGGTACCACTACAAAAGGGCCAAAATATACCCGCCACTGGTGAATAAAACGACTGCCAGATCTAGGGTTAATTGTTTTGTAACCTCAATATGAGTGAAAACTAATTGATATTCATGACGAGGATATGAAGTCGCTGAAACAATCGTAATCCACCCTTAGAGGAAGTAAAGGAGTCACAAGACCAAATTAAAGGTAGGTAGGGTTAATAAACCTCTTATTTAGATGTTAAGTGACTCAAGACTACAAAAAATATTAGTTGAGCCAGTGGGTTAGTGTAATAGGAGGGTCAAAGATTGTAAAGAGGTCTTTGACCCTCCTATTACATTGGCAGTATGATTGCCTATCTTGCGGCAAAATGCTTCACACTTGAGTTGTTGTCAATGGGATAAAGGCAGATATAAAATACTGGTATATTAGGGTCGTGTCAAGTGTGTTACAGAAATTTACCTAAAAATATAGACCTACCTCATTGAAATTATATCTTTAATTATTTACAAGCCTGCTCACTAATTCAAAGTAATAGGTATAAATTTATTCCAAAACATAAACTCCCAAACATAAACATAAACATCTCGGTTCTTAGTAACCTTAATTTAGCCCTTACCTAATCTAACCTTAAGCAAAGGACTTAATGCAGGGACACAAATTAACATAAAGGAACAGTAGCGGATCTAGAACAGTCACAAGGGGGGGGGGCAAACCAGGGGTTCTGGGGAGTTTAGGGGTACCTCCCAAAAAATTTGTGTAAACAAGTCTCCAAAATGGCAGTTTTATACCGTTTCTTCGTCCAAAGTTAAGTTAGTGTGACAAATTATTTAACGCAATGTGTATTCACTACCTACTGTATTAGATGCAGTGCAAAAAATACATGTACTTATGCCCGAGGGGGGGAGCACCCCCTTCACCCCTCTCTGGATTCGCCACTGTAAAGGACAACCTCCCATCCTTTAACATACCTTTTCTGGCATCAAAAGGAATTTACTAGCGTTTAGAAGATAGCTTAGGTTAGATTAGATTAGGTTTTAACAGATTAGGACCGGTTTCTTTAGTTCAGTGCACCACGTATTTTAGACCTTTTCCCCCTTAATAATTTCCCTCAGATCAGAATTTCCCCCACCCAAATAACCTAATTCCCACTAAATAGTCCCCTATATATGGGGTTAGGATGGGTTTAAAATGATTCATTTTACTATGTATTATTTTAAGTAGGGGATTTTAGTCAAAAATCTCATCTTACTAATATTATAAATGTGAAAGTTTATGTGTTTGTTTGTTCAATCACGCATTAACTACTGGACGGATTGGGCTGCAATTTGGCATGATGATAGCTCACATTCCCGATTAACATTAAGGCATATTCTTATCTCAAAAATCCTTTCGGGCTCCACCCCGGAGGCTCTGTTGATCCCCATGTTAATCTTATGATTCATATTTACAGGGAATTAAAGAATTTAGTCAGCTGTTTCAACTAAAAAAGTTGGTTGTATGATGTGCAAAAGCATTAAAAGTTATAAGCTTTACCAACAGGGTGCAGCAATATTATTTTTAGCGAATTTCCCATATAGGGAATAAGCTATTACTGTAGTACTCATCGTAAGACCTGGACCCGGAACCAATTTAAATTTTCATTTCGAGGTCCCTAGAGGCCAAAAACACCATCCGTTTGAAATCATTTATATATATGTGTGTTTAATCATTTATTTCAATTAATAATATGGTTTACGTGTCCGTTAGGATGATAACTCGAGCAAATATGATCCGATTTTGATGATATTTGGTACAAAGGTGTAGTAAACCTACGTTCATTCAAACGAGTTCGCGATCCAGCATAATCGGACCATGGGAACGGGGGTTTATGGGGGGTTTTATGGGGTAAAAATGGGGTTTCCCATTTTTGACCCTAAAAACAAAACATTAAAATTGCAATTTCTTTTCAACCCGCAATCCGATTCTAGAATACCAATTTGTATTCCGATTCTAGAATACCGAAACTAAGTTAGTAGGCCTAGGCGTAACTCAAGGGTAGACTAAGCCCTGTAAACTTACTTTAACTCTCAAAATTAGCTTATTTTGGTTACAGATTTTAGAAGGCTATTTAACTTAGTTACGGCAAACATCATTTTTACAATACCAGCCTAAGTTACTGTATAGTGATGTGACGAGTTGAGTTGGCGAGTCAAGTTGACTTGAGCCAAGACCCGACTCGAGTCAACTCGAGTCATCTCATTCGCAACTCGAGTTGGTACGAACTCGTACGGAGATTGCCGAAGCTAAACAAACTCTGAACGTAACGAGTCCGACTCGCAAAACTTAAACGCTATTAGCTCACAGCCCCAAAGCGAGTTAAGAAACCGAACTCATACGGAGAAAGCCGAACCTTTAAGAACTCGGGATGTAACGAGTTGACTCGGTTGACTCGCAAAACATAAACGCTATTGGCTGAATGCGAGTTGAGCCGACTCGACAAACTAATAACCCTATTGGCTGCGCTGCGAGTCGACCCGAACTCGACCGATGGAAGCCGAAGTTTCACGATGATACCGAGTTGAGTCTGACTCGAGTTGCAACTCGAATTGACATAGTCGTGAGTCGAGTTTGACTTTACCACCACAAAATATTTGTTCAAACCCCAGAGTGATTGTAATTTAACCTATAGGCCTACTGTGAGATTAGAAATTTTCTTTTTAGTTTTTTTGGTTCTTTAACGAGTTAGAACGTCTAGGCTCTAAGGACTCTAAAGGCTACTGTAGTACATACCTAGCATAAGGGTAACTTTAACTTAGCTTAAGTTGAGGCAGTGCTTTTCAAAGGTCAAGTTTAACTCAACTGAAAATTTTGGAAATGAGTAACTTAACATGGGACTAGATAAAAGCATTTAGCAAGCCTTATTAACCCTTTCAGTGCTAGGCCAATATTTCTTATTTCGTAAAACATTTTTGTTTCCCTATCAATTTCATTAGGCCCTACCTGTTGTTGAATAATTTTAACTGTATTGTTGTCACTAATTTGTTTTTGTTAGGCTATCAATTGTAGGCTAAATGTTCCCTGATAGCAACTGATTAAAACCAAAATCTCATAAAATCAAAGACATCTAGTTTACAATGTAGGCCTATATTGAATTTAGGCCTAAGTTATTCATAATTTAGTTGGATAAGGGGTTATTGTAGGCCTAATATAGCCTATCCATTTTAGGGAAAACATTTTTTTGCAGCAAAGCCTCAGTAACACAATTTATGATCACTGTTGTGAACTAAAAAATATCATCTAAATAGGCCTAGTCCGTGACTAACTGGTGCTGCTACCTAGGCTAGTAATGCATTGAATAACCTGCTGTAGCAATCGTTGGTGTCAGCTTAAATACCGGTTTTTGACTCCTCAGTCTTCAAGCACAAATAGCCGGGAAGGCTAGGGCGTGTGTCACTTGGCCGGTGGCATTCACCTGCTGGGGTTCAATTTCCGTCTTGGGAGGCAAATTAAATGTGTGAAAAACGCATTGGGCGAATCTTATAGGTAGCTAACTTAAGTGGTTTGTTAGTGTATCCTATGAACATGCTTTTGCTACTTATGTTAAAATAACCTTCCTCTCTATATCCCTTACTTAGGGATTTTAAAATAAGTTAGGCCTACGATATATCGCTGCATAAGTTAGCACTGAAAGAACCAAAAAATAAGTTAAATGGTCTAGGACTCGTTTACCCTATTACAGGCTAACACGAGGATAAGGTTGAGATGAGAGGACGGCCTTGGATAGCTCATCTAAGGTAAGAGATTACTTTAAGTTTGATGCATGATAACAGTTAGGCCTAGTAAGTACTGTACACAACTTAAGCTGCTTCCCAGAATGCCTGACTAGACCCATTATGATAAGTAGGCCTACTTCTCAATTTAAAGGAAACGATGTAGGTTCAACCAAATGAGTGTATAGCTGTTTAGCCTGAAGACTAACAATATTTGATTTGGTAGTCTATAATGTAATTGGGATTTGCTTACCAACTGTTGACAGTTGCTGAATTTCATTCATCGATTTCAGAATAACATTAGTCCCCGACAACTGAGTAGATGGCTGCTGTATTTGTCCCTGCATGAGAACTGTTTTTGACGTAACGACTGAATAGTAGTCGGGTCGGGATTCGGGAAGGGTAAAAGGGTGACTAGAGTAGAGTTGCGCGTATTGATGCAAACAAAACAATGTTGACCTTCAAAATGTAAGCCGACAATAACTTAATGATTTTTGCTTGGCTTTATACAACACAGAAATCCACAAATAACCCCATTTCCTACACAATCAAACGTATTTGACACACTTCGACTTCAGTAATACGAGTGAATACAACACGTACGCGTTCAATTAATGAGTTATTATAACTTAACTTCTTGTTCTTGATCTTGACTTGACTACCGTCACCGCACCGTGCAGTGTTGCCACCTCGTTGTTGTGATTTTATCCCAAAAGGCGGGCTAAAATTACCCTAAATCTACTTTGAGCTACCCTAAAAATTACCCTAAATGTTAATATTTGCGTTTAATGCTATAAAACATTGTTAAAATAATATAAATCTTACATAAGGTGGTTAATTAAACTAAATAAGGTTCCACTATCAATCAATATATGTAAAATTATACTGGACTTGATTCTCAAAAAAACCCGAAAAAGAAGAAGAAAATGTCGATATTCACTATTCAGCTTTATCGTATATACGAAAAATATCGGATCAAGACTTAAGTTATCGTATTTTCTTTGTGTCGACCCATTAGCCTTTTTGGACAATTATATATTTATGATGCAGAACGGTAACATTAAAGGTTTAATCTATTCTTAGCAGTAATTTTTTGATACAATTTGTAAAATAGGTAATCCTAGTTCAATTCAATCACATAATTAAAATCAAGAAGTAATGAATAATATTTCATAATTTTATTATAACGTGTTATAGAATTGAATACAGTCCAAAACATATAATTCACATTGATTAGATCGATTAACTTATAACAATCGATTTTTAAACCGGTTGAATCGCATATGGTTTGGCCATAATATATGTAGGTAATGGACGTTTTTTGCCAAATTTTGAAGTTTTTTTTCATGTTTTTAAGTTAAATTTCCATTGTTGTGCTAACTTTTTGTTTTACCCTAAAATTGCCCTAAATATTCCATTACCCTAAACTTTACCCTAAGACTAGTAAATTACCCTAAAAAAGGGTAATTACCCTAAAAGTGGCAACACTGCTACCGTGACGTGAAAGTGAAGGAAGGAAGGTAGCGAAGGTAGGAAGCCTTCCCTGCCTCCGACGCGAGCGTTTCAGGGCAGGAATTGGACTAGCATACTGCGCATGCGCCAGAGAGAACCAATTCAGTTGTATTTGGTCTTCAACGAGTCGACTCAGGAGTCAAAACTTACTAGTTCAGTTCAGTTTCAGTTCTGCTGTTAGCTAGCTACCTCCGTGACGATTGACGACTTGAGTCAGTCATCTCTGTCACCCCCATCATCCGTTGCATTTTAAGTACCTATTCGGTACTAACTATGGGAATGGACTAAAAATTGAGTTTTCCCATTTTTTACCCTAAAAACATTGTTTTTTGTATTTTTCAAGTTATTTTGTGATACTTGACAAAATTAATAATTTAAACTTAATATGTTCAGAATACCTATACCATGAATATTCCAGAGTACTTTTCCAGAATATTCTGAGAATGTTCTCCAGATTTCTAGGCTATATAAAAATTTTCTTAGAATATTTTTTATGAATGATCTGAGTATATTCAAGGAAATTGCCTGGGATGTTGAGAATGATCTCAAACATTTTAGAAAAATTCCAGGAAATCCTATTATTTTTCATGTTGTATTTAAATGTTATACGGTATATACAAGTGAGTTAACAAATTTTTAGATTTTCTCGAATTTGATGTTGGCAGATATTGATTGCAGTCCATGCCCTGGAATTTGAGTGGAGCAGAATCATTTCAACTATAAAATAAATTGAAATACCATCCAGAGAAAATATAGGAAATAAGGTCAACGATATTTGGTATCAAATTAAACTTACCAAATTCAAAATAAGAGTTTTTGGAATTTTGTACATACTTCAACCTCCTTTGTTTGAATAATCTTTATGTTAGTCTGGAATTTTCAGATTATATTTTAGTTCCTTTATACATTTAAACAGACCAATGCATCTCCAACTACGCATGCAACTTAACGCAATACAAAAACACCAATAAATAATAACAATGGTATATAAAAAGCTGTTGTGTTTACTATTTTATATTTTTGAAAGTGCATATTATGCAAATATTGACTACATCAGAACTTATGTTTAGAAACAAAATAAAAAATAATTAAAACCCTCCGAGTGTCACGTGTTTTGGCCTTAATGTCAGCCTATTTTTTGCTCATTTGCAAGGGTTTATTAAAACTGATCTGAGAAGCTTAAAAACAATGTTAATTATACTGTTCTATATACCATTTTCTTTGGAAAATCTTGGGCTTCAATATTATATATAAAACATAAGGAAGATTTAAAAAAAAAAAATTTTTTAGGTAAAAAAATTGTATAATTTCAAAAATTTAAAAAAAAATAAGTTTGCGCTCAATGAAATTGTATAAATTATATGCCTATAAATATTTGAAAATAGCCACTTTGTTCTAAATTTTATGAGGATTACAAATATATAATAATATAAGGAAGTAGATTTGCAAATAAATAAGTTATGGGCAAAAAACAGATTTCAGTACATAGCGTTTAGCTAAGAATGCATAGCCCAACCATAGCTAGGAATCTGGCTGATAATTTACATCAATATCACTACCTACTTCTTCAGGATCATCAACCAGCACTTCAAAACCACTTAAATCTTCTTATAATGCACCACGTATATCACTACTTTTGATTTTTAACACTAAAACAATGATAAATGTAATAAAACACATCAGTCATCGGTCCGAGGGTAACCTAGCTGTTTACAAATACACGCACGTCAGCTCAGTCAGCTGTCTGCTACAATATTTTCGGAACTAAAATGAATAGTGCTTAGAGACAGACCTCTGGAGAAAGCTTAGAATATTACGGAAAGAACGATACCTAACTCAATCCAGTACAGTCCGATTCAGTTAGTCATAGAGCCTTCGCCGTAAACAGTGTTCGCGAGTCGCTGTAGCGACGCACGACACTATACAAAGTGCGTTACGCGTCGCTGCAGCGACGCATGACACTCGGAGGGAAGAAGTATTAAAAAAAATTATTACAGCTGGAAATAGTGGCATTGTAAATGATCATTCAATTTTAATAGTTTATGTAGAACATTTATTTTAAAACATATAAAGTAAATCATAAACAGAGGTAATTTATCACAACAGTCCGTACTATCACACCTCACACTAATAACAAAACATTTTTAAGTCTTCAATCAGTTCACCAGCACCTCAATCAATGACTCTGTAACAAAAAAACTCTGTTTTAGGTTAATTTAATAAACATGGGCAACACATTCAATGTGAAGCCTACAGCGTAGTTCACACTAGTAAACATATTGTATGTGGTACTATGGGGTTATTGCATGAAGTTTTGGCTGTTACAATAGACTCCCTCTTATCCAGACTCTTGGGACCGAGGTCAGTCCGGATAATGGGTTTTCTCGTTAAACTGACGTCCCACAAACTCATTAAAACTGACCGTTTAAATGCATACTGTATATACAGTATTTGACTAAAATGTAGTAGAGCATAATCACTGTTCTCATATCCTTAACACAAGAACAGTCTTTTCAGTAACGCTTACCTCCCACTTCCTGCCGACCTAGTCCGGTTAAACCGATGTGCTGATAAAAATTGCCCGGTTAAAGGCCTATTTTGCTTGGAGCGATTGCAGCGATAGTCGCGTGGCGATAATCGCTCCGCGATAGTAGCCGGGCACTGCTCTGACGGAGTTTGCGTTGTCCTGTTTTGCTTGGAGCGACTATCGCAAGAGTCGCTAGCTACAGTCGCGGACCACTGCCCCGGGGACCAGTCTGAGCGATAATCGCGCCGCGACTGATGCGCAGAACCTCAAAACAGTGCAGTTCACTCAGTAGGCACATAATAGGGGTTAAATTAACCATAATTTACTTTTTTGTTCACATTAATTTTTCTATTCATGTGCTGTTACGATTCTACTGTTTTGGTTATATTTCATTACACATTAATTTCATTTTCTAAATTAAATTTTAGTAGAAACAGGCGACTTGTTTAAATTTGTTAAGGTAATTTACGTCCATTCAAATTTATTAAAATATAAAATGCTTGACTGTTCCAAGTTGTTATGTGTTATTTACGTAGTGTGGGCGTTAATACTGTGTCAGTTTTTGTATGAATATTTTTTTTTTAAATTTAGAATCCAGGTTTTATTTTCCGACATTCATGTACTCTTATTGATATCACTATTTTTTTATTTATATAAATATATTTTTTCATTGATATCACTACAGTTTTCTATTTATGTCCTATCTAGTGACCTCTAGTGATACGTATCCGTCCCTAATCCTACGTATCACTATGTATTTTCAATCGATCGTCCATTGATACTTCCACTAGGGTCGAGTGGAGCCTCGTCTCCTACATCCTCACCGAGGAGACGCTTTAATGACTTACAATTCGCACTCATGACTTCACCATGAGTGCTGATATTTAACTAACTATGAAAAATCGCTGTGTGACCGAAAATCAATCGCTCTAAGCAAAATGGCCGCCTTGTCAGCTATAGTAGCTGAGCGATAATCGCTGTGCGACTATCGCTACAGTCGCTCCAAGCAAAATAGGCCTTAAGAGATGTAATTTCCACCGAGTGTTGTCTGGTTTAACCGATGTCAGGTTAAAAGGTGTCCGAATAAGAGGGAGTCTACTGTACCTTATCATGGCTATTAAACATAGTAATAATGTTCCCTAATATGCAGCAAGGAAAATCAATTTTACTTAGCCTAAATACAAAGCGAAGAAGACTGATTCTGAAAATTACATTGCACTGCAACAGCAATGTTATGGGGTAAAGTTCTGCAGAGAAACTTCAATGTATTATACTATCCTATCAAATTTTCAGTTTCTATAAATTAATAGGCCTACTGACAATAGCTTCAAATTTATATAATATATATTGATTAAGAAATAGGCCTGCTTATTAATCTGTTAGCTTATGGGTCTTTTTAAAAAGAGGACCACCCGCCAATCTTTTACAGACCATTGCAGCATTTAGGTTATGTTAGGTTATAGGCCTACCACATAGAAAAAAAACCACGCACCAGTATGAGTCGTGCATGCAGGACAGCAGGAGAGTCAGAGTGGTGGGGAAAGACACCTCGCCCCAACGACTCATCCCCACCACTGCTCCAGGCCCTTCCCCACCATCAACCTTCAACCCTACATGCGCGAGACAGCAAGTGGTAGGCCTATAGTTTATAAACAAACAAGGTATCATTAACAAAACGTTTAGCTTTTTTCTATAAGCTAAGTTACTCATGAAAAGACACGACTAGGTATAATTTGGCGCTTTTGACAATCAGTTTTGATAGAAAACTGTACAACACTAACCCAACCCAATGATGATGCTATTGGAACAATTTGTATTTATTTAGGCGTTACCTGGTTTTTATTAACATAAACTAAACCAAACTGAACTAACCTTGTTTAACCACCACAGCACAGTGTGAAAGTCTATTTAAAAAGAATCTATGGCTTTAAATATTCATATCACGATACCTTTAATACTCAAAACAAAAATCGGAATTTATATCGCAGGGAATAATATAAAGTACTATTTGTATAACGAACTGATATTTCACCCAATATATATTGAAGGTATTGAAGGTACTGACATTGCAGGTTCTCTAAAGGACTTTACTGCAGTTCTTAATAGCCTACATTGTTTATAGTAAAACATTCTAGCATAAAATGAAGACTGTAAATGTATTGTTATTTGTTTCATCAAAATTACCACAACTAAAGAATAAATTGTAGGCCTAGTTATTTTGATCTTTATAATAATATGACCATAACAACCTGTATAATGATTTTTACATCACTAAGTAGAGGACAAATTGTTTATTCCTTAAAGTAGGTAACGGGACAACAGTTTTTGGCCGCTACAAATAACTAGCCTACAATTTAATCGTTTATAAAACTTAACGTAAATTTTCCTGTCGTTGGAGTTTCAAATAGCATGTTTCTCATGGTCATGTTACTCTAAATAATTTCAAACAAACCGCTATTTAAATTAAACAAACGATGTTTTAATATTCTGACTATTACAACAGCACGAGGAAATGCCTCTTTCAAAAGGTTACATCATTCTTATTAAGTTAAGAGACTATATGTGTGTATGAGTAGCAAGTATAATCATAGACAAAAAGAATTATATATAGACTACCAGCCGTGCTGCGGTTGCCATGGTTACCATAGGTTCCATACCATAGGTTCCATACCATAGGTTCCAGTCTCCATTAACGGAAGACTTATGTGGACGATTTCTAACTTCAACGCAAGGTTGGAGGAATCAAAGGAGAACAAGTCACAGATTGAAAGTCCATGTTTCTACACAAGTGATTGTGGCTATAAGCTGCAGTTGAGAGCGTACCTGAACGGTGTTGGTCAGTGGGAAGGGAGACACATGATTGTGTCACTACACGTCCTATCATCCCAATGGGACAACAGACTCGCCTGGCCTTGCAGAATGAAGGTGATCCTCTGTCTACGGGACCAGGAGCAAATAAACAGGAAGGCTAAGGACATAATGAAGAGTTTTACGAGCAGTCCAGCGCAGAAGGGTTTTGAGAACCCTTGTTTGCAGATGTTCATCCCCCATAGAACTCTCTATACCCGTAGCTACCTCAAGACTGACGTTGTCATCATAGATGTCAAGACATTACCTATCTAGTCCCAACTAACTGTTAATTTAATAAAAGTTTTATACTGTTTAAAAAAAAAAAAAAAAAGTGACGCAATCTATTCCGACTTTGTCGGTCAACGATGCAGTATTCAAGTAAGTATTCAAGTTCCGGCGCACACCGCTGTAGTTTACGCAGCGCGTACGCCGTAACTACCGTGGTGCTCCAAGCGGTGTGCGCCAGAACCTATGGTAACCGCAGCACAGCTGACGGTCTATATTTAATTATTTTGTCTATGGTATAATGTAAAGAATGGGTACTTTCCTGTTAAAGGGAACATTTATTATAGATAATTTCTTTTCGAATATCAAAATTTTATTTTTCTGTCCGTTAAACAGCCATTCCCCATTCCTTTTCTGTTATTAAACGGAATTTTGAAACGGTAACATAGCCTATACAGCAAAAGTTAGTTATGTTATAACTTAGGTTAGATTAGCTTAGTTTGATTTTATAATCCAATAAACTAGGCTATTAAATGTTTGCCTAAACAAGGTTCGGCCTACTTCTAAATTAGTAGGCCCTACCTAGATAATTTAAATGTGTTTGAAGATAACAGAAGGAATAAGTTATGAATCGTGAAGTAAAACAAAAATATTGATAAGCTTATATCGAAAAGAAATCATCGATAATAATGAATGTTCCCTTTAACAGGAAACTGCCAAAGAGTGAGAGACCCAATATAATATAGTAACCTAATAGGGTACTATAGTGTAGGCCTGTCTATCGATAGCGGAACCTAGCCTTGCCCTACGCCAGGGTAATGCAAAGCCTAGCCAGGGCCTAACTTAAGTTATTTAAATTTTAGTTAGCTAGCCGGTATTTATTCCGTACAGGTGCCTCCAAATGAATTTTTAATTTTGATATCTTACTTTATAGTTTTTTACCTCCTGAATCCAAATATACCATTAATTTTCACCGCTGATGAATATTTCTCGAGATATCGCCGTAAAAACATACTTAACATTAAGATAGGATGGATGACATTTACAAGTGGAATGAACTGTAGGTTAACTAAGCTTTAAGCCTACTTACAGCTGATTGTTTTCAACCACACAAGATCTCACTCTGATTCTGTCACCGGCAATATGCCTAGTGACGACATTTTACTTCACTACAAATAAAATACAAAACAAAATACTCATTCGTACTCATATGTGTTGCGTAGTGGCGTAGTGCTAGCGCTAGCTCAAGCTAAGTTAATTGCTATTCAGTCTGCTACGCCGTCGCCATCACAAGTTCAAGTCAGGTTAAGAGAGTAACATGGTTGATGAGAAGAATAACATCATTGACTAAAGATAATAACATCGTTGTAGAAACATATCAAGTGATTCTATAGTCAATAACTTAATGTTTACTACAATAGGAATTTCGTTTCATTATGGAGATATAGATGGAATATGGACTAATTACTCGTAGTTCTTATTTAGGCACGTCAGGGTGGTAGGTCGTGCTTTATGTGAATTGGTGACTGCATTAAGTGTTTTGAAGTTAGGTTAGATTAGGAAGGTAAAGTTTAGGTTATAATGTATCGAGTTGTTAGTTTATGTTGCCTGCAGACTGTTTTTGTAAAATTAAAATCCTGGGAAAACACTTTAAATTACTATTTCAAAAATGCTTACCGTTTACAGGCTATAGGTTTAAATGTGTCAACCTAAAGATTAGGCCTTTAAAATACAACTCACCCAGGGTTTCTAATATGAAAGTTACACCGCTTGGTAACTTATTTTGTAAGTGCCTTTTACCACACAGCCTAGACAGTTCTTATATAATTATAAGATTCGTCCTTTCGCAATGTTTATGGGAAATTTCGGTAGTCCTAACCATGTCCTAACTGTGTGACCCTACAGGGGTACAACAGTTTCTTAACTGGGCTACCCTAATATCGATTGGAACTATCGAATTGAAATATTGATTAATAATCGATATTTTAAAATATAATGTCTATTATAAAATTAATCTATCCTAACCTAACTAACCAAACTTGTTGATGGTGAAAAAATCGCAGTTTTCTAATCGAATCGATAGTTTCAATCGATATTAGTGTAGCCAGTTAAGAAACTGTATCCTTGTTTTATTTGGACAACACTTGGAACAAAACACAACAAACACTTTTAAAGACTAGACCTACAGTATAAAAATTAACTTTAACTTACAAGTAGGGTGCACGGGGATGGCACGGTAGAACGCATAACAATAAACACTCTTTTAAACACTTAAATCCGACTTCAAAACATACGATACTTCGATAAAACCTCAAATTATTAAAAAAAAACACACACAGCTTAAAGACTTTGAAAACTACAATCGCTGGGGCACAGCAGGGGCAGAGCAGACAGATGACAGAACGACAGAACAGTAAACAACTCTTTTGCTTCAATTGTGTGAGAGTCGTTCATTTGAGATCAGCTCAATTTTACGGTTTGCGCATGCGCAGTAGGCTAGTCCAATTCCTGCCCTGAAACGCTCGCGCCTCCGACCCTTCGTAGTGGTGGGGGTGGGATTATAGCGTCTCGGTTTCCCCTTCCAAGAACGATGAGAAACTCTTTAGCGAAGTTTATGTATACCCTATATAAGTTTATGTATATATAAACTAGAAGTAAGTGGTTGATCGTACAGAATCAATAACAAAACTACTAAGTTATGTAAACTCAAATTGTGCTACTGAGACACTAAAAAAATAATGTTTTTTAAATAGTATTTAATTTAAATGCCAAATACAAAGTGACTATTCGCACGTCAAATTGACGTCACAACAACCCGTTCTCAATGCAGTTCCAGTTCCAGTATTACAAAATAATGCGAAGGGATCAGTTACTTTTCTCCACAATTCTATTGGCTCTCAAAAACCATCACCGCAACGATTCAGTGACACGACATCGTCCACACTCCACTGTAGTCTAGTGGATAGCGTGCCGGACTGATAATCTGAAGATACCTGGTTTGAATCCCGCTGGTCATTCTAACTTTTTGTCGAAGATTTTTTTCATTATCAGCAAGTTTGTTTAGGTTATGACGGTTTAACTTTATAATTAAAACATTATAAAATTGAATTTAAGTCATTTATATTTTTATGTTATGATCATAACTAAGTTATTTTTTCGATTAGACATTCATTACATTTTTTTTAATATCAACAAGTTTGTTTGTAACAGTTTAATTTTGTATAACAAAATTAAATTAAATTTGAGGCATTTATAATTGTATTTTATGAACATAAACTATGTTTTCGATTACTAAACATAGACATGTTTAGTAAACATTCGATTTTTCATTATCAGCAAGTCTGGTTAGTTTGGTTAGGTTATGACAGTTTAATTTTATAATTATAAAATTAATTTTATAATTAACTAAATTACGTCATCTACGGATCTATGGACCATCAATAGGCCTATGAAGTTTAGATCAGTCTCATTTCATAATCAGTATTTAAGCATATTTAAGTTAAGTTGCGGGCAGAAAACGTGAAGTTTATTCCATCCATTTCGGCTAATGAGGCTTTAGAGGTACACTGTTCCTAGCTGTTGCTGTACATTATTATTATATGTATTCCTAATACTAGGTTTTCTTTGTGTGCAACCTGTTCCTAAACAGTTATAAAAGTAACTGGATTAGGGACGCAATATGGCACCATTCGGAACAGTCGTGCGCAGTAGCGGCACACGTCTGACGTACGAATAGCCTCTGCCTAGTAAATATTTAACTTCCACCAAATCAGTAAATCTCTTTACATTGAATTGTTGCAAAAATAAACAACAATTGAATTGTTCAGCTGATCTTAATGTAAACAAGGACGTTGACGTTTTGACAGAGGACGACAGTGATAATGACAACAATGACGAGTGCAGTTCGGATGTGGCAACTGATCTTGTGTGGAGACGCATTTCAACGTGCAGGTAGTGAATCTTGGTGTAAGTGATCATGATGCCATAAGATTTAGTATTTTTGACCCTAAATTTAATGATAGTTCGCCAAACCCAGGTAGGCCTATTACCTATCATAGGTCTATCACACCCGCTAATGTTAATAGCTTTATTCGAGCACTGGACGATGATGAATGGGGAAAGGTGTTTCTTAATGGCAGTGCAGAAGAAAACGTTAAAAACTTTTTTAAGACTTTCCTTTTAGTATATGATGAGTGTTTCCCAAAAAGGGCCAGTCGACCTCGCGTAAGCCTAAAAAAACCTAGTTTTCCTTACTGGGAAGACCACAAACTTGCTACACCTAAAAAATGGAAGCTTCTAGTTCTAGCCTAAGCCTATGACTTTTATAGAAATTCAGCAACCGATGAAACAAAGTCTAGATACCTTAACATTAAAAAGGAATTCCAACTTAACCTTAAACGCGCTAGGTTTGAACACAATGTAAATCTCATCAAATCAACTGAAAACTCGGCTGCGGATGCTGTTCGGCAGCGTGGTCTGTCATCAAAAGGGAATTACGGTGCTCCTCTAAAGTCTCCTCCCAAAACCAGCCTGTCTGCAGAGGATTTTAACAACTTTTTTTGTGACTTCTGTTCAGCGTACCAGAGACGGCATTGGGACAGCCCAGACCCACTCTGGATTTTATGCCTGTACCATGTGAGAAGGTCCTGTCTGTTGTACAGACAATAAGGAGCTCCAAATGTAAGGAAATTTTTGATATTTCTGCCAGTTTCGTTAAAGATACTATTAGTTCTACCGTTCTTCCTTTAACTTATTATATATATAAACTGTTGTATTCTTGATGGTATTTATCCTAAGATTTTAAAAACTCTCTTATTATCTAGAATCGAATAACCTGATGGCATATGCCCAGTTCGGTTTCAGGTGGGGCCGTGGAACAATAGATGCAGTATGTACTCTCTGACTAAGCCTAATCTTTGAGCCGTTTGAAAGTGGCGGTTTTGCTGGGGCCACCCTGTGTAACGAAATGAAATGAAATGAAATGAAAATCGTCTTTATTCTTGAGCGTTTTTCATATTACAGCATATGTTTTTCAAAACAACTCACGTCAACAAATAATATAAAACAAAGGCAACTTTCAAATCTTAAGTTCAAATCCTAACCTCAGCAAAGCCTTTGGCACTATAAACCATGAAATGTTATTAAACAAGTTAAATTTCTATGGTTTGAATGATAAAAGCCTTGATTTGCTGAGGTCCTATCTGGCCGAGCGCGGGCAGCTGGTGTCGCTAAGTGGTAAAACCTAAATGTATCAGAAACCTAAGCCATGGCGTTCCGCAGGGCTCTGTACTTGGACCCCTGCTCTTCAATATAATGGTTAATGACCTTCCCATATGTACCTTGGTAATGGTGTTGTTTGCTATGCAGACGACACTAAAATTGTGGAAACTAGAAATAGCGCTGTTGGGTTGAATTTGGCTTTATAAATCAATCTTTAAATGTTGCATCTATGGTTCCGAGCAAACTATTTCTTTTTAAATCAAGAAAAACCCAATCTATTGTTTTCAGTCTCCGAAATATTGAGCATGAGGTAACAAGAGTAAAGCTTCTAGGCATTTACCTAGACTGTAAGCTGGATTGGAACAGCCATATTGATTATGTTTGTGGCCGACTGGCAAGGGTTGTGCACTTGCTTCGTAAGTTAAGGTACTGTACCAAAAGAGTGGTTACGGACTGCGTATGTGGCCTTTTTCCAAAGCATCATCACTTACGGACTGAGACTTTGGGGTGCCGATCCTGGAGTCGAGGAGAGTCCTACTTCTCCAAAAAAATGCTATAAGAATAGTAGCAGGGGCCAAGCACCTGGATCACTGCTGTGAGCCTATCTTTAAGGCTGAATCCCTCATGATTCGACAGTTTATAATCTGCTTATCTCCCAGACCCTGATCAAAACTAAGGAGGAGTTGGGTGCTCTTGAGCTCAGCAGCGACATCCACTCGTAGAATACTAGAAGTAAACAGGATGTAAATGTATCCTTTGTTAGGCTTAAGAAATTACAAAGTAACGATGACATTGTAAGCCTTAAACAATGCGTTATCTTGTACAAACCGGAACCTTCCAAGTAAACATTTCAAAAGGGGCGTGGAATGTCTCCTCCTGGCCAACCCACTGTATAGTATTGATGAATTATTCTATAAATTAAAAAACGAATATGTAAGTACTTTTTTTGACTGATGGTTTGCCAAATGTGTGCTGTATTGTTTTCTTTTTCATTCTTTGCATGGTGAGTTACAGGTCACATTATGTATGTATTTCCTTTTTATTATATGATGTTGAAGGAATTGTTCCTTTTTATTCTAATGTATATTGCATAATGTACTAGAATTTGACGTTTTCCAAAGACTTGTGTATTGTAAGTTCTATAGGAAATAAATTGATTTTATGTCTTATGTCGTGTCTTTGTCTTATGTCCCGTTCCGATGCTCAAATACCAATCACGGGCGCCTTTAACTACAGGTCGCGGCCTGGTAGAATTGGCAACGTCACAAGTGGTGTTGTCTAGCACCAGACGTCCCATAAGATAACATGGCAGACAGGTGATACCAGCTCATTATTTTGCGTATTATTCATTTAAATTAAAATGTATGAACATAAATGTATTGAAACGTTTAAAAAAACATATAGAATTGAAAAAAAAAAACAATATTTAGATAGAAAATCAATTTTTGTACTTTTAAAGTGGAATCAATATTGTCATAGTCCAGTAACCAAGCTTTCGTAAAATACAAAAATACCATTAGCTGCTGCCAAACTAAACAGCTGTTTCAACACCACTTGCCAACGTTGCCAGTTCGAAAGCCGCGGCCTGGAGTTAAAGGCGGCCGTGTACCAATTTTCTGTCTGCTGTCCCGGGCGCGGTGGTGGGGGGGTCTGGGTCATCTAAGAACAAGAACGGTCTCGTACTCGTATGCAAAACAAACAAGCAAAAATAGAGGCACGTTTTCCTCTATAATCAGAGAGTAGTACGCCTTGGAGTTGGAGTAGTGACTCCAGTATAATCTATATAGGCTATATCTCAATGGGGACAACACTGTGATGATATGGCGAAGGTTTAAGAGTTAGACTCCAGTGAAGTTGAGAGAGTGGAAGAGAATGAAGTAAATTGATCCAGTCATCCATCCCAACCCAGGAGTCCCAGTCCCAGTCCAGTACTCACTAGATCAGTTTCACCGTTATATAGTCAATGGTTTCACCGACTTTCACATTTCACTTTCACCGTTTCACCCCCATTCCCATTCCATTTTCCATTGGTTTTGTTTCTGGTTTGGTTTCGTTTCACCTTTGTCCGTTGTTGTTGTTGTTTCTCACAAATGAATTTGATTTGGAATTTGTTTTTTGTTTATTGTTTTGTTTTGATTTTTACTATACAGTAACAAACAACAGGTTACAAACTGAAACAAAACAAGCTGTATTAGGCTTACCTTTTGATATTGACTTCTCAGTGCTACGCTACGTCTTATGTTGATTACAAGCCTTAAACAGGTAAATTATCACAAAGCCCTCTTCCCACCCATTACAGTAACTTTACTATAACTTATGCCTAACACGTAACGATCTTAATAATGATAGGCCTAGTACCTACCGGTAGGCCTACAAAAATCGGTAAGTTAAGTCTTCCCTAGTTTACGTCTACATTTACGGAAAGTAATTCAAAGAAACGTCTCATAACATCTAAGTTAACCCTTTTGCCGCCAGCATTTTTTCATTCTTATAGCCTAACTTAATCGAGAATCGCCAAGGATTATACTGTATACTTGGTATAAATGGCTGCACTTTACTTTAGGTCCTACACTCATTAGAATAAAATATCGAACATTCGATTGTATCATTCGATATATCGTTTGGTTAGTTAGGTTACCTTACCTCCTAACTAACAAAACGATATATCGAATGAAACGATCGATTAATCGATATATCGATCGATATTTTAACTCAAATGAGTGTAGGACCTAAAGTAAAGTGCAGCCCTTAAAATGGCTAGGTTAAAACCATTTTTTTGTGAATATTAACCCTTAGAGTGCCAGGCGAGAAATAAAAGTAACGCTCAAAAAATGCCGATGATTTTTCCCGAAGGTCGCGCTAAAAATGCCAAGCGCGATCTGGCGATTTTTAGGTTAAAATTTCGTAAAAATCGAATTTCCAATATTTCGACCAACGAAAATCGATGTATCGCATCTAGTAACTTTCGACTCAATGTTAATATATGGGTTAAAAGAATCCGAGTATCCGTTCGGTTGTTATGACAACTGTTCGATCATTACGAAACGTCCGGTCAGCCGGACGTTGGCACTTTTGGCTCGTTCTAAAAACGTCCGGTCGGCCGGACGTCGGCACTTTTGGCTCGTTTTAAAAACGTCCGGTTCCCCGGACGTTGGCACTCAAAGGGTTAAGTTATTTTGATAAAACTTTCTAGAATGGTTGGGTAGCCTAGACAGTTTCTTAACTGGGCTACGCTAATATTGATTGAAACAATTGACTCAAATAGAAAACCTTTAGGCCCTATGCGATTTTTCACTATCAGCAAGTTTGGTTGGTTATGTTAGGTTGATAGTTCAATTGTATACCTAATTGATTATTAATCAATATTTTCTATTTGATAGTTTCAATCAATAGGGTATTTAGCGTAGCCCAGTTAAGAAACTGTACCCGAACTGTTAAGTTAACTTACAAAATTGCCTTTCTTAACTTAAAAATATAAGATTAGCCTAAGTTATTCAGTGTGTCAGATTCCGTGTAATAAGCTAAATATATAGGTAAATGCGACTTACAGTCTTTGCAATCCTGTTAATTGAGCACTAGGCCTATGGCCGTTTCGGAGATAACTCCATCATCGGGTGCGTAGTCACCATAAACTTACACTAAACTGAACTATTCACATAGGCTATTTAGGCAACATTTTTTAAACGGCCGTAGTATTCAATTAACAGGATTGCAAAAACTGTTTTTAGCCTTTCTATATTAAAAATAAATAGGCTAAGTTACCGGTTAGAAAGGTTTGAATGGATTTTTTAACGTTACCAAATGTAAGGGAAAAAAATAGCAAAAAACCCAAAAATAACAAAAATAACAACAAATAACAAAAATAATAAAATAAATAATATAGGCTAATAACAAAAATAACAAAAAATTTATTATCAAATTTTGTATACCTATTTTGTTGTATTCTACCATCTATGTTTTGTCTTTGTAAGTTGGTTGCTGCCGTTGGAAATAAATAAATAAATAAAACTTAACTTAACTTAAGTTTGAGGACAACCAAGATAAAACTACCTAACTTATAAAATATTTGATAAATATTTGTGTTATTTTTGATTAGGTCGACTAACTTAAAAGTTATAGGCCTACACATTATTTTGTTAGCATAGCAAGCATGCAAAATTTGAAAATCCTACCTTAAAAAATAAGCTTCTTTCATGGTAGCCTCTCACATGATCTCTCCGTCCGTAGTCCTTTGCCTTAAGGAATTGGACAGGTCAGGGTTTTAATCACAAAGAATAACCAAATTTAACTTAATACTAGTTTATTTGTCACAATTAAGGTAACTGTCTAGCCTGTGTCATGAAAACTTAACTCCACTAGATATTTTTCAATTCTAATTTGAATTTTGTTAAAATCTGAATTTCAAGTAATTTTTTCGTTAGGGCCTGGTACAGTTTCATTCCCATGTAATCTGCCAAAGGTATGGACATTAAAAAATTATCTATAAATGGGCCATGAGAATTTATGAAATGTGATCACTCAACCCACTAATTAATTGCACTCTGTCAAGTAATGAAATAATGTGTCTTTACTCACTGTCGACTTATTTCGACCAAGTTTAGTTATATTTACTAACTGAAAACACATTAAAACAACTAATAAGTCTTGAGAAGTTATCTAAAAACACGGATGTTGATTGTTGACAAACAACAGACGACGTCACCTAGGAAAATCTCGTCCACCACTAGAAAAAAACACAAAGGCAGTCAAAGCTCTTGCTACATTAAGCCCAGACAATGCTGATTCGATTGGTGTGTCATTTGTGGCTTTTGGACGTAGAGGTGGCCAGTAAACAAATATTTAAGCTTAGCAGACGTCCGATATATCAGACCGCACGGCGATTTTCGCAATAGCGCCGTGGTCCGATATATCTGACCGCGGCGGCCAAAGGATTAAAACATATATTTATGCTTATACTTGGACAATCAAAATCGATCACCACTTACCATCTTTATATTTACCGTCTTGTGAGTAACAGTATAAGCGTAAATATATGTTTTAAAAGTTATAAGACGTTTCTTTTATTTACTTTCCATAAATTACAATGCTCATCAAGAAGTTATTTAGTAGGTTTCATTTACTAGGCCCCTATACAATAACTACCAGCTGATTATAAAATGAAACTGTTCTAAACTAAAACTAACCATATCCAAACTACTGTATGTGAGTAACGTAGGACGGAAACTGAAGTGCAGCCAGAAATATTTTGAAAGCCTATTATTATTAATTAGCGATGTGACGAGTTGAGTTTACTGATGACTCGAGTCAAACTCAATTCACAACTATGTCAACTCGAGTCAGACTCAATTGGTATAACTTAGTAAAACTACTATGGCCTTCATCCGTCAAGTTTGGTTTGCCTCAAAACGCAGACAATAGGGTTATAGTTTGGCGAGTCAGCTCAACTCGCAATCAGCCAATAGCGTTTAAGTTTTTTGAGTCTGACTCGTTACGTTTCGAGTTTTTGTAGCTTCGGCAATCTCCGTGCAAGTTTGTACCAACTTAAGTTATTAATGAGATGACTCAAGTTCCACTTGACTCGAGTCAACTCGACTCACCAAACTCAACTCATCACATCTAGCATTACAACATCATGTATTTATTAGGTTCAAGCATATTCTTAACAACCTTTTTTTCTCAACTCGTGTGCATCGCAGCGAAAATCTTCGCATACTCTTAGAAAGATATTTTCTGTAAGTCAGATGTGCTGAATCCCTTTATAATTTAAAATAAAATAGGGTAAAAAATTAGCATAAAAAATTGTGAATTTTAGAGAATTCCCATGTAAGGAATAAGCTATTACCACAGGTCTTATGGTAAGACCTAGACCCGGCACTGATTTACTTATGGTTTTGAGGTCCCCAGAGGCCAAAAACACCATCCGCTCAAATTCATATCTATATATATGGGCCTATAGGCCTATAAGTAAATGAAATGAAATGAAATGAAATGAAATGCTTTATTTCCGTGAAACATGATACATGTATGGAAAAAGTCAAATGTTTAGTAGGTAGGCCTATCCTTTAAATTATTAACTTTTTAAGTAACTAACACGAGCTGTTGGCCCGTCCTACGTACGGGAATTGAGTAGTCAATTAAAACGGAATAGTTCAGAACATCTAGTTTACACGCACAGTGACAAATTCTGGCAGTTTTAATGGGGCCCAACTGCCCCCTTGGTCTATATTAAATTCTTTTTGTCTATGGTATTACTGTATTCTGTTTTGTTTATTTCAGCTTAACTTAAATCAATTATTTTATTAATATTTATTAAATCAAACGGAATGCCCGTGGGTAACAGCTAGTTAAGTCTAAAGTTTAAAGAGCTTAATATAAAAAAATCCTTTTTTATAGGTATTACCCATACTAATTTGGGGGCCCGCTAGACCCGCGCGCGTGCCCCACCGTAAATAAACAAGCTGGCACGCCTAAGGGTTAAGGTTAAGTGCACTGTAGAAAAAATGTAAAAGGAAGAAACATATTATCTTGTTGTTAAACACGAGAGAGGTCTTACATGTGCACTACATGTTTCAAATAGTTTTTTTTTATTTATAAGCTATTTAAAATGAAAATCAAATCACCCATCTTTATTTAAACTGAACATGCATACATGAATAGAGGCACTTAAAAAAAACACACAAACAAGTACTTTAAGTTTCTTATTATATCTACTACAATGGATAAATCTGTGCAGTACAATCCTATTTAGTAACTTTTAATTGTTTTTTAAAATATGAACTACTAGCAGAGCACCCGTCCTTCGTACGGGGTTGGCATATATAAGTATAAAATGCTTATTGCAGTTATATTCAAGCTTTGCGTTTGCAATGGGGAGAGGACACAGTTTGATCAAATTTGGTTCATAGATTTACGGTTTGATATAGTATAACACATCTACCATTGCCATAATGTTCTACCACTGCACCTAAACAATAGAAAAAAAAAAAAAATTATCAAAAATTCGCACAATATCACAAATTATACATTAAATTAAAAACTCAAACCTAACTGTAAACAATCTTACTTTGACAGTTCTCATTGTGTATCACAGCTTTTTGTTCCTGCTTAGTTCAAATTAGCTGTTGTCATATATGCAAAAACAAAATAATAATAGTGCTGCACCCTGTTGGGAAACCTTATAACTTTTTAGTGCTATTGCATATTATAGAACCAACTTGTAAAGTTGAAACAGCTGACTAAATTCTTTAATTCCCTTTAAATAC